ACTTTTTTTCCATTGCTGGAAGATACTGATCATAATCACTTTGATCGCGATGATCAGCGAAAAGTTGGGCGAGTAAGCATGCATTAGAAAGAAAGTTTTGAGCACAAGGATTGTAAACAGTAGAAAAACAATACGTCATGTTATATAATAACTGTAAAAATTGCATATATCTTTCACAGTTATTCCAATCATCATCATACAAAGCATTTTGTGGAAATTTTTGGTTGTAAAATAATGTTAACGGGCCCTTGTACTCAATTGCCTTTGTTAACATGTCATAGGTGGAATTCCACCTAGTTGGGCAATCGGTTCTAATTTTTATTACCCTTATCTTTTGTTGTTTTAGAAAACTCTTCCATTCTTGGTATCTCATGTTAGAGCTATTAATAGACATAATAGCATCTCTGATTTTGCTGTAGTATGGGCCAATTGCCCGAACTCCATCCTGTACACATAAGTTAAGTACATGGCAAACACATCTAGTATGAAGAGCTTCACCGTCTAATAGTACATCGGTTAAGTTTTGTTTGATAAGATTAGTTGTGTATGTCATAGAGGTTGCATTATCAAAAGTCATAGACATCATTTTATCTCGAAGGTTGTATTCGTCTATTGCTTGCATTAAATGGTGAGCAATGTTAATGCCGGTGTGTGGGTATTCCAGCATTTTGAAATGTATTATTCTTTTTTGTAACATCCATTGATCATCTACCCAATGGCAAGTCACACATAAATAGTGATATTTATAACCACTATCCCAAGAATCGGCTGTTAAAGATACTCTACAGTTAAGGTTACTCAATTCGGCTTGTAACCGGACTTTGTACTCTAGGAAATTTTTCATTGCTGCGGAACGAACGGTTTTCCTAGAGATTCTTTTATGTTGGGGTTGTAGTGCTTTGTTAATGTAGGTGTTGACTGCGTCACTTTCCGAGAAAAGAAAAGGTTGTTCGGCGTGTACTATCATTTTTCCTAGTTCATCCCTATCCCTCTCATAGTTGTATGTAAAGCCGTATGGATGGAATTGGGAAATTTTGGGCTGGGTTGGATCACTAGCTGGTTTTGCACAAGCTTTCATGTGTCTAGATAAGTGTCCCGTCCCGTTTTTGGTAACTGCCGTGAATACACTATTACATGTTTTACATTTTGCCCATTGTTCACCATCTTTACTTAGGACAAAATAACGCCATACCTCACTCCTTCGGTTTTTCAAAAGTAGCATCTCAGTTTCGGTTAACCATTCATGATGTGTGTATTGGTTAGTAGGGGGACTAGTGGGAGTGGCAGTAGAAGGGGTAGAACCGGAGGGAATTCGGGTACTTTCTTGGCTACCTTGGCTAGAACAATAGTTTTGTTGATTACCGATATAATTAGGTGGAAATTGGTATGGTGGTAGTGGAAATTGGTTTAGTGGTGGTGCTGGAAATCCCGACGTATTATATGGCTCATAGCCCGGGGGGAAGTAAATGGGGTCATTGGTTTGACTCGTAATTTGGGGGCTCGTTGTATTTGGTGGTTCCCTAGAACTACTACTACGGATAAGTCGGCCTTTCCCCCTAGACCTAGATGATGGGTTGTTCGATGCCATAATTAACAATTAATTTTTTAATAAAAAGTGGTTAACTATAATAATAATAATTAATAACAACAATTTTAACAATAAAAATATCAATAATAATAATTAATAACAACAACTATAACAATAACAATAACAACAAAAATAAATAATAACAACAATTGTAACAATAATAATAATTAATAACAACAATTATAACAACAACAATAACAATTAACAACAATAATAATTAAACAAGATTATTCTAATAATAACAATAAAACAATAATAAATTTAAGATTAGTTTAGATCTTACAACCGTGCTTCAACGCTCCACTAATTACGATTACGAACTTTTTAATTTTTTCCGATATTAGGAAAATAATTAGAGAATTTAAGAGAATAATTAGAGAATTTAAGAAAATAAGGATTATTAGAGATTTAGAGAATATAAGAGATAAGAAGAAGAGATTGTGATTTTGTGATTTGGGAATGAAATGGAGGTGAGTATTTATAGAATTTTTGGCAAAAAACTAGCCGTTTATAGCCGTTTAACTAGCCGTTGGCCCGCGGGCCGTGCCTCGGGCCGTGCCTGCGGGCCAGCACGGCGGGCCTTGCCCGTGCTCGTGCCGGGCCGTGCCTGGGAATTCTCCACCGTGTCCGTGGCACGGCCCGTGGCACGGAAGTCGAACTTCGTGCCGTGCCGTGCTTGACTTCGGGCCGTGCCGGGCTGCTCCGAACGGCGGGCCGTGCCGGGCGGCACGCGGGCCAACCCGGCCCGTGCCCAGGTTTACTCGGTAACAAAATTATGTAATAATATTCCTTTTTTTTTTTTTGTGAGTGTGTGTATTAAGTCACAAAGTTAGAGACATTGAGATTATTTTTTTTTATATTTTTTTTATTTTTATTTTTTTTATATTTTTTTATTTTTTTTTAATTGTCAATGCTTTATGAGTATAATCTATCTATTATTGCAGATAAGATATATATACAGAATATATACTTTGAGAAAATTCATATTCTTCATCTTAAATTATTGATGCAGTAAACGTCACAACTTAAAAGCACTTCTTTGCCCTTCCACTTGGATTTTAAATATTTCCTTACATTGAAAACTACCGTTACCAAAGCCTTAAAGCTACCCTAGCCTACCTAGTAGGTTTTCGCCACCCCTTGCCTTCCATTCCATTGCCTTTAATTTTTACAGGAAAATGAAAGTAAGAGGAAGTTTATGAAAAGAAATATATTAGAAAAGGAATTGAGAATTTAAAAAAAAAGTCTTTTATTTGACAAATTTGCAAAAGGTGTATGTAGTTGAGAGCTATTAATGTTAGTAATTGTGAAGTTGTGAACATGTACCTGTCTTCGTAAAAGTTGATAAACTTAACTTTTGCAAAACTTTTTGCTAACTTCATAGTTGCAATATTCTGCATTCAACTAATAGAGGCGATAGAATCGCATGACACAATTTCAACAATAACTCAAATACTGTATATAAAAAATGCGTATTTGACATCCATCCAAAAAAAAAAAAAAAAAAAAAAAGCGTAATTGACATTTGAATTAATACATATTTGTCAAATGGGCTTATTTAGGATTAACCACTTAAAATTAACTTGGCATATGAGTATATGACCATCAATTTCACATGTGTCTCATGCAAGTTAATTTATAAGTATATTTTTTTGAGAAGGTATTGGGTGCGGATAGCCGTATGCAAATTTGGTGCGCCTGGCTTGGCTGATATATATTACTTGTTGGCTGATATGTTTCATTTGTTGACTGATATGATTTTTATGTTGGCTAATATATTTTTTTGTTGGCTGATATGTTTTTTTTTTTATTATTATTTTTGATATGTTACTTTTGTTGGCTGCTATAAGACATCAGTTGGCTGATATATTTCTTTAATTGGCTGATATCTTTATTTTGTTGGCTGATATATATATATATTTTAATTGTTGGCTTATATGTTTCATTGTATTGGCTGATGTGTTTATTTTGTTGGCTTACTTGTTGTTTTTGTTTGCAGATTTCATCTTTTTGTTAGTTGATATGCTTCACTTGTTAGCGGATATGTTTCTTTTGTTGGCTGATATGTTCCATTTGTTGGCCGATATGTTTCTTGTGTTGACTGATACGTTTTTATTAATATCTCATATGTCCCTAATATTGACTAATATCATACATCAATTGGCTGATATGTACATTTTGATGGTTGATATGCGTTAGTTGTTGGCTAATATGATACTACTATTTAATTCCTTCTTTCTCCTCTTTCCCCCCTTTTCCTCTCTTCCTTTCTCACGCCACCACCCAAAAAGGCAACAATCCACTAACCTCACTCACCCTAACCCACGACCGTAACCAACCAACCACCACCCTAACCTCACGCCACTATCAACCTCTTTAATACTTTGTTTATCGTCAAAGTGAAGCACCGATTCGACGATATGGGTTTCGAACACTGAAATTGAGAGTCCGGCCACCCCTTACCACACCGTTTTTGCTGTCGCTGTTCAAGCCTACGCCAGGTCGCCCCACAAATTCTCAGCCACCCCTTCGCACCACCGCAAATCGAACCCATTGTCTTTCCTCGCTCAATCTGACGCCGCCCAGCCACCACCACCTCTACCTTAAGCTGAAGACACACCACCACCATCACCTCTACATTAAGCCGAAGACGCACCACCACCACCACCTCTACATTAAGCCGAAGACGCACCACCACCACCACCTCTACATTAAGCCGAAGACGCACCACCACCACCACCTCTACATTAAGCCGAAGACGCACCACCACCACCACCTCTAACTTAAGCTGCCGCCGCCGTGCCATTAGCACCTCTAATTGTAAGTTTTTTTGCTTTAATTTGTTTCGATTTAGGGTTATTTCCGACGCCGCTGCGCGAACGAAGTGTTGGGTGCGGACGTCCGCACCTAATAGTTTGCGTATTTTTGTTTCACAACAAAAAAATTCTTAATTTATTAATATTCATGTTAATTACTCTAATTATTTGACTAATTTTAGATTTTTTTTTATTTGTGTCAATTGTGTGGCTACTTGGGGTATCAAGCTAATTGTTTCAATTTTAACTTGTTGGAATTACCCACATGGTGACATGCAATATAAATGGTTTAAAATCGTGAGAAAAGGGTCGTGAAATAATTATACAAGGTGGGAACTGGGAAGTAAGAATTAAAAAACTATTAAGTCACTCCGTATTAATTAGACAAAACACATAACATACACTTTAAAAAATATTATCCTCATATATGGGACGAAGTTGCTTACCTGGTTAATTTCCTTATGCCTTTGAATTTCAAATCCCTGAAAAATGTTACCTGCATCCATTCAAAACAAAGATGATAAAATTTAACATAACATCAAATCGAAACAAAAAACGAAGTCAATCTAAGTTGTGCATCAAGTATTCAACTCATGCTACTCAGTAGGGTTTTCTCAAGTGACTCATTTTGTCATACAGATCTAGGTAAGATTATCATTCGATAACCCGTCAACCCGACATAACTCAACTCGACTCGACCCATATCATCGGTAAAAACCAGCGAGCATGTATGGATTCGGCTGAAATTTCAAAAACACAAACAATCTCCTGGCGGGTCAATTGAATTAGAAATCCCGAATTCCGAACTCAAATTTACAACATCCAGTAAAAGTGTTCCCGCCCCAACAATTGAAATCGCCTTCTTCTTCTTCCCCAACCCCGCTCTTTCCCTCTTTCACATTTTCCATTTCCAAACCCTTCTAAACCCTCTAATCCAAATTCACCCACTTTTTTCTTCCTTCCAATTTCCCCCAATTTTCCATTTTTCCGCGCGAATTTCTACAGTGCTGAACAACACTTTCAATTGTCGCCGTTTTTTCGGATTTTCTCTCTCCAAAGGTCAGTGCCCTAAATCGATTCATCTGTAGTCGTAAATCCTTGTAAATCAGTTTTTTTAGCAATTATATTGATTTTGTTGTATAAATTTGTGATTAGGGTTTAAAAATTCAATCGATTTCATATCTGGGTATTTTCTGGGTATCGCGATTTCATATCTGGGTAGCTTTTGCGTAGTATAAATTAATGGGGGAGGATAAATCTGGAAAGTTACACGATAAGGAGAATCGTCCTGTACTGGGTAATATAACAAATCAACTTGGAAAACGAGGGTTTTCTTTGATTTCTCGTAGTCCGCCTTCTAAATCTAAGAGCAGTAACAGTCAAAATGCGGATGATACTGATAGTGATTCTAATTTCTGGAAGCAAGTTTCTTTGGTTGTCGAGAAATTAGAGAAAGAGAGGAATAGTACTCCGGCAAAATGCCCTAAAATTGTTAATGAAGTCGGGTTATCGCCGTTGAGGGGCGGCAAGACTTACCGATTATTTAATACTTCCGGCGATACTCGAAAGGGTTTGCCTAGTAATGTTGCTAGTGAGTGTAAAGAGATGGCTAGTTCTGCGTTGGATAACATAGATTTGGATGCTGTAAATGTGGGTGAGTTTGTGAAAGAAGGTTGTGTTTCGGAGGTGAAAGCCGGTGAGAGCTCGAAATGTTGTGAGAGGGATTGTGTTGAGGGCGGGAAGGAATGTCAAGGAGAGGAAGTTAGGGAAATTTCTGATTCTGTGGGAATTGATTGTGCTCGTGAAGTGCTAGGTGGTACTGAAGCTGCGAGTGACAATGGTATGAATCCTGGTGCTGAGTGCTTGAAAACTAGTCAATCTGAATCAGTTGTGAGTTCTAGATTGAACGAGACTCAGGAGATGAAAGGATTTGGATTGCAGAGATGCACAGCACTAAAAGAGGATGGTAGTGGTATGCTCAAGCATTGCTCATGCTCATTTTGCACAAAAGGTATGTGCAAGATATTTTTTTGGCCACTGAATGAGATGATTCTATGTAATTACTGGTATTGATTTTGTTATTGCTGTGTTGGATAACAGCTGCTTATATATGGTCTGATCTGCATTATCAGGACGTGAAAGGCCGGATATCAGGTAAACTCCATGCCTGTTTATCTATTACTAACAGTTTGATTGCTTGACACAATAATTTTCAATTACTAACAGTTATAGTTCAATTATTCTCAGTAATGGAGAAAAGTCAGAAGGAAGCAAGCAAGTTGGCTCAAAGATATTCAACAGAAAATGAAATTGGAAGCCACACCCAAGAGAATTTAACTAATGTCACACAAATAGAGGCTGATCTCACGAATCATTGGAGGTCTCTATTTCTTCACATGGAGGATGTGTACATTAATGAAGGCAATCAACTAGTAAGTTTTGTCATACTTTGAAATAATGTCTGAATGCTTATATTAGTTATTTGCACTGCAGAACCGTATGCATTATGTTCTTTCTTATACTCGTATCGTATAACTCTGTTGATCTATTTGTTGCAAGTATATTGACCCACCATTAACAGATTTTGTCATTCTCTTGCAGCAAAACAATTTTCTTGCGTTGAAAGATTTAAGAGAGGACTATAAGATGAATTTAGAGATGATCAATGGAGTGCCATCGGATGTGCAACAATGTTCATCAGATACTTCTGATCGTACGATAGTCTAGGAAGTTTGGTCTCTGCAGGTTTGTCTTGTTCCTTCCCCACATCTCAACTTAGGATTGTTTAATAGCTCAAAGCACATCCCTGCGTGATGTCATTAGCGTCTGTAGTAGCTGTATTAATGTAATACTACAAATTTCTGCCAGTAACACAATTTGCCAAAGGTGATAATGGAAATTGTGTTTCCAGGTTAATGCTCCATCCTTATTTGGGTAATGAATTTGAGTTGAATTGCATTCTTTTTCTCCTTAACCACCCTAATATAGCATGAATCGTGCTGTAAGGATATAGTATAGCACAGATAAATGCTCATGACTTGATTTATGTGAATATTCTTTCAAACATTTTCTGAAAATTCAAGAGTTAGACAATGTGTAGTAAATTCTGCATTGGACCCCCCTTTTGGGACTGAGACTGTTTCTTTCAATTCAAACACTCTTTGTTATATTTGTATTGATGGTGCTCAAACAGTAAAGAAAACTACTGTAAGAGGGAAGGTGTTTCTGGTACTCCTGGTATTGCATGGGCAAGTAGAAAACTCAAGTGTTTCGTTCCTAAGTCGTCTTCCTTTTTTTGTTAATAAGTGACCTTGTATATGCCTTAAATATTAGTGTTTCGTTCCTAAGTCGTCTTCCTTTTTTTGTTAATAAGTGCCCTTGTATATGCCTTAAATATTATGAGTAAAAAAAAAAAAAAGAAAGAAAAAGAAAAAGAAATGTCTTATGGGTTTACACTAACTGTTGCTGTTTGTTTTACTTTGAGTGTTCACTTATTTTCGATGAGAGATTGGTTACAGGGAAAAGTCTCATATCTTATGTAGTACTCATTATTTCCTAGCTTGTTGGATAATAGTTTATTCTTGAAAATTCTGTATCCTGGTGAATCAGCATCAATGACTACTTTGTGTTGATTCACTGATACGTAGTTTTCTTACTGCATTGTCTGCATATGTTCTTGCTGGAGATTGAATTAGGTAGCTATCTAAGCTGAGGTTATGCTCATTTTGGCTCTTCAGCTTTTGTAGGATTGTACCTAGGGATGGGCATGGGTTGTATAATTGTATCTAGTATTACCCAGACTTTTTTTTTTTTTTTTTTTTTTTTTAGACTCTAAAAATACAGTCCCTTAACTCAGTCCTGTGAGTCTCAATTGGACCCAGACCATATAATTTTGGGTGGTTCCAAGTCTTCCAACTGAGTTTGGATCGGGGCCTGGATAGTTTGACCCATGCCCATTTCTATATGTACCTCAATCTCTCATGTAACGTAAAGTCAAAAGTGCAACTGTTAGGATATTCCCTTGAATCATTTTAGCTTTGGACTACAAATCTACAATTGCTTATTGGGCTGAACTTGAATATATTGGGTCCGGATTTTCATTTACAACTCAAAAAAGAATAATTTTGGGTAACTATTAGGGGGTATTTGGTTTGCAGATTTTTGGTAGGAGATGAGTTTGGAATAACTAAAACCATACATAGTGTTCTTTTTTAAGAAGTTTTCAATTTTCTAAACCTATTCTTCAAAGCAACAAGGTATGGGGTTTAAACTTTAAAAATCCAAGCGGAAGGTGAGTATAACTCGTACCAAACTTAAGGTACTTTGTAATGAATAAAAGAAAAAAAACTTATTACTGAACAATTGAACCATAATTAAACTTAAGGTACTGGGTTTTAAATACCAACTCCATATCACCCTATATTCTTTTCTGATTCTAAACCTATACCATTATGTGAATCATACAACCTCTTAAGTAGACTAGTATTTAGCCCGTGCAATGCACAAGTTAAATTTGTTGATGAAATTTTTCTATTGTAAGGTTGTTCTGTTTGTATAAATTACTCTTGGAATGAAAAATTACAAAATGTGTGTAAATACAAATTGCAACGTAGTATTAAAAATGAAATAAGTGTAAACCATCATATCAAACATTTATGGGTATATATATCTAAACTTTATAAAACGATAAAGGTTGACCATTGACGTATAGTCACGACCCTCCTAACATTAGTAGAAAAAACATGCACTTTCATATAAAATTAAAATTAAAGAATAATTTTGATGTCTAGAATTAGAATATTTACTGCATAAGTCACTTTAATTTTAAACAGTAAACTTTTACTCAAAAAAAAATAATAATAACACTGTAAACTTTACAAATAAACCAGAAATTTCCCGTATCAAATTTCCTTAGATGAATTGATGGGAAAGAGAACATGGAAACGAAGGAAATCAAATTTCAAAAGATTTTATCTCAATTAATAAAATTTGATGGGAAAGATACATGAAAACAAAGGAAATTGTAGATAGTAATTGTGATTGGTGATGGTGATGATAGAGGTGTTGATTGGAGGAAAAATAAATGAGTGAAAGATATTTGTTTATTTTATGCTATGATATAACCATACAGTGAAATGAATGAAACATTGAAACTATATATTTGTTGGAACATATTGAAGAAGCGTTTCACTATTTGGAAGGAAAAAAAAACTGAAAGAATTTAAAGATAAACATTGGATGATAAAGCAAGATATTTTTTTAAAAAAAAAGGAAAACAAAAAAGGACACGGCTTTCTATATTTCTTGTAAATTTTCCTGTTATTAAATATTAGTACAGATTTGTCGAATTGGGCTTACGATTGATTAAAGATCGAGTATAATCAATTTCTTTCATTTCATATTAAGTTGCTGTGGTAGATCATTATGCTTATACAAGTCAAATGTGTAATGTTTTTTTCGAGCCATGTTTTTTATTAGATTGCGATTTGATCAAGTTAGTTTTTGACATATCTAATACTTCTATTAGGATAATGTCTAGTACTTTTCTGAAATTTTAAATAAAAAGGTTTTTTTTTTTATTTTTTTATTTTTTTTGTTTAATTTTATTTTATTATTATTACGTCTATAAAAAGGAGAAATAGAAATTACTCTCCCTGCCGTCTTATAATAAAGTAGTAGGTATTAGTGGGAAATGGCTATAACTAGACCTGGTAATCCTGACCCAAACCTGAATGACCCGACCCATGACCCGAAATTGACCCAAAAACATTGACCCGTAATTGACCTGACCCGACCCAAAAATGGAGTTGACCCGATCCTGACCTGACACCCAAATTGACCCGACACGAAATTAACCCGAACAGACCCGATACCCGAAATGTCCCAAACTAAAATTACCTTATAATTGAACTTAAAATGTCTTGTATAAAAAGTAACTCAAATTGTTCATCTTCAACTGTAGCTAAGCTCATAAACTGAATTGATAGTTTTTATTATAACAATAACAAAATATATACTCCGTATAAAATTATTCATTTGAGCTTGATTCACAAATGAAACAACCCGAACATGACCCGACCAAATTTTGACCTGACCCGAATATGATCCGAACATACTTGATGCGAAATTGACCCGACCCAAATATACTCGACTCGAAATTGACCTGATACCCGACCCGAAGTTGATCTAAAACTCGAATTGACCCACCCCATACCTGACCTGAATGTTAGCTGACCCAAAATGATTCGATCCAAAAGTAACCCGACCTGGATGACCCATTTGCCAGGTCTAGCTATGACTAGCTTATCTTAATGATTGTTGGATAGTCTTCTAATACCCGTAACCTATTTGACTTGGCTTTTTCAAGTGATAATATTGAATAATGCTTGTCAACTCCACTTAATATTGGCTGGACAATAATGCTTCATTTTTCATCTTACCAACATCTATACTACTATATGGTGTTGGACGTTAGTTTTTTAATTCATTATTTTTGGGTGGATCATGAATAAATAATCCACAAGTCAACCATTTTATATTTTTATCGGTTGAGGATAATGAGCCAACTATAACATCGCAAATAAAAAGTGCTCACTGTTTAATTTCAATTTTAGTTTATGATCATTACGTAGGATCATTAATTGATTAAGTCTATTCACTTTTCCAATACCCTCTTCTATAAGATAGCATTTTCCTCATTTTAAAAATACATGATGTTTTGAGGTTATATGGAGTAACATACTCTTTATACACTAATAGAGAGTACTTGCTTAAAAGGATATGGAATTATTGACTATTTTTTATCAATATTAGTTTCCTTTTTTCAATTTAAAAACTTTAATTTGGGAACTCCAACTAAATTGAATAATTATAAAATATTGGATTGTATAGCTATTGTAAGAGCATTTTGTTGGAATCATGCTAAGTCCATAATAACCACTCATAATTCATAATAAGTTAATCAAGCTTTCATATTCCATTGTAAATTTGTACTATAATTATTTTAAACTACACTTATTAGGAAAATTGATTATATGACTGCATTTATAGAATTTTTTTTTGTAGATGGCCATAGAATTTAATTGGTTGAATGTGTAAAATTAGAATGATAGTTAGTGTGTTGAAATATAATTTGTGATTTTAGTTAATTATTCACACAATCACACCAACAAATGCATAAATTTATGGGTAATGCTATATGTAGCTCTTTAAACATTAAATACACTCTTGAAAATTGTATAAAATAAAAAATTCATGACAAAAACACGCATAAATTAGTGTAATTAGTATTTATATTTTTATATTTTTCTAATTTTATACGATTTTCTATTGTGTATTTAATGCTTATATATAATCCTAATGACTATGTATAACATTTTGCTAATAATAAATCAAAGAAGGTGAGAAAAGAAAGAAAAGCCGAGTTGACAAAAAGGAAGAGTAATTGTTAAGTAAAGGTGAGAGAATAATTCTCTCTCTCTCCTCTTCCATTCCCTTCCCACGGTTGCGTATGACTATATATAAGAGTATAAGACTGCCTGCTCTTCACCACTCACTACTACTCTCACAAAACAAACCAATAATCAAATCAACAACTTTCTTCATTCTTCTCTTTCTCAAACCCTTAAATTTCTTCAATCTTAATTTGAAATACTTACAAATTTAGCATGGCTACTGCTTTAGATTTCTACAACAATACTACCAACAAACCTCTTCTTTTGGATCCCTTAAAAGAAGAACAAATCAAACTTCAAACACCTTTAAATTCCTCTCTGTTTTACTCTTCATATCCTTTAAACAACAACATTTACTTGTTCAATCAAGAATTTACTCAAATGGGTATTCCTCAAAACCCTTCAATTCAGCTTCCTCCTCCTTCAAGTTCTAATTATAGAGCCAATCATCTTCTTTCTCCTAAGCCAACTTTGATGAAACAAAACAAACCCACAAAATTATACAGG